CCCCAAAACCCCAAAACCCCAAAACCCCAAAACCCCAAAACCCCGTTTTAAGGAAATTATATAGAAGGAATAATTACTTCAAATATGTCATTTCACAATTTTTGGAAACTAGAAGAACTTAGGTGCGATGTACCTGATGAATGTCAGGAGAAGGATCAAAGCAGGGATCGGCTAGATTTAGTGGCTAAGAGAAGTGAGAACGTTGTAAGGAACTCAAATTTACAAAAATTTGCCCAAAGAAATTCGGAATCTCCTGCTAAGACTACAAAGCAACAACTTGGAAGTAAGCATTAAGATTTGCTTAATTTTCTTTCTCAAGCAAATAAGAAGTCAAAGCGACTCTTTTCCTTACCAAACCCTCTCTGAACAGTTTTACGATATTTATATCGAAGACTAACTGTTTTAAATCTGGAATATAAAAATCTCAGATGAATGTACCAATACTTGCCAGGCTTCTATATGCTTCATTTTTCAAATTTATTCGTGAAAATCCTTGCTTGGTCATAAATCCCCATAAATTCTTTGCAAATAATTTTTAATAAGTTTCTTGATGCACCTATTGATCTATTTCCTGTTTTTAATAAATTACTCAATTTGGAATAGACAAGGAAATCCTTTTGGAAGAGCGGAAAGGAAGAATCCAGAGGAAGCATACTTATGACACCACTACTAAGAGGAAACATAGACATGGTAAGCCCCATAGGTTCTCGGTACAATTTTGTGGTGCTTAATATACAAATTTTGGGGACTGTCAGCTAACTCTTAATTTAGACAGCCTTCAAAAAGGGGGTTTACAAAGAAACATGGACTATAAATCTGAGGAAATGTCTCCGAGAAGTCCAATGATAAGCGAGATTAAGTCTCTGCTAAGAATTATTCATCAGAAAAAGTTGAAGAAGGCCAGGTCTAATAAAACCAGGAAATTAAGGAAGGGTTTCAAGCCAAAAGAAGGGTTTTGTGATAAAGTGATAAAGTTTCAGAAGCAAGTTAGTTGCAAGAAGCCCGATATTTCCTGAATTTATGACACATTTAATCCAGTCCAAGTGAAGAGCATAATACAGGGAAATATGGTTAAAGTTATTGAAGATGATGTTCAAAACCCAGCATTGGGTGGAGTGTAACCTCATCAACAATATTAACTTCAGAGGATCTTTAAATTAACTCATAACTTAAAATTTAAGGAAGTTTTATGAAATTCCTATTCAAACTTTCCTCCCTCAACACTACAAAGGGTTAATCCAAGATTAAAATCTCATGTAAAGTGTTATGAGTCCATTTTCGACTAATATTTTCTGCAATTCTATTGGGAAGTTCTAGAACAGACTCTCTGAATTGGTTCAAATTTGCCTCTTTATCTGAATATTGTTAATTTTTCTCCTTTTTACAAAATGTTGTCTAAATTTACTTTAGATAAATATCTTAAGCTGCTTATAATCAAGCATCTCATGTTTGAAGCGCTATAGACAATATCCTAAGAACTTTGTGATAATTATATTTTTAATTGGGCTAGATTAGGAAGGTAAAATCTTGGTTAAGAAATTCTGGCAATTAAGGTTTCGACATCATGAAACTTTGAAAATGAGTCAATACTTCTCATCACCAAATGTTGCATATTTTGGAATTATTTAGATAAAAATTTATTACAGCTCTAATGACTCAGATGCTTCTTAAACTTCAGCATCATCGATGAAGGTTCTGCTCAAGCACCAAAGAGCTGGTATTATATGAATTACTTTCAAATTAGTTTATAATGTCTTGACGAAACCTTGCTGAGCATTTCTCATGAGAGCCTAGACTTTAACAGGAATCCTAACCTCTGACAATAAGAAATCTAGTACTCTCAAATTTTAGTTTTTAGAGTTTACAGAAATTATTAGGTTTGAAAAAACCGTAATCAGACCTTCATAATCGAATCTGTTACTAACCTCTTTGAAATTAAGAAGCCCAGATATCTGAGAACTGGCAAAAATTGAACTTATGATACTGATAACCTACTTTTTGGCAGTCATTGCTAGTTAGGATATTTAGGAATGTTTCTAAAGTGTTATATAGATATGTTGCGACGCAATAAGAAGCTGATTTATACAATAATAATGATTACATCAAAGCGGCTTTAGACAATCAATTTTTATCTAATTTATCCTTTAGTTAACTATATCATAAATTTAGAAAGCTTAATTTTCAGTCGAGTTATTTATTGACCGATTTACACTAATACTTCATCATAAATTTCTTCCAAGTTTATCAAGAGCTCTAATTGTTCTTTGTCATGAGAGATAACAACAAAATAATAATGTTTGCTCATTCAGCTAATTTTGAATAACTTCAGGAGTACTTACTCGACAAATATATAGAGGCTTGTTGGCTTATTCTTAAGAATCTCAAGAAGTTTTATTAAGAAGAGATACACAATTTAGGACGCTTTAGTAATTTTAGAAATAGCTTAAAATAGTGACTAAATACCTACGAAATGCTGATTCTTTCTTGTTAAGGCTCTTATTTCATAATCTAGGACTATATTTGTTTAACTTGGACAAAGAAGTCAACTGTTAAGTTAATATTGGGATAAGTCTATATAAAATTCGCTATTATTAATACTAAATTTGTAGAAAACTTAACTCTAAACTTCAAATTTTGTATTAAAGTCTTGAACTTTGAAGACGATTTAGACCGAAGCAGAAGAAATAGCTTAAGTCATTGCTTCTAAATTATTGTCTCTATTAATTACCTATTTCTTGAAAATTTTAGTAAAGTTATTACTATATATACACCTTATTTCTTTGAGCAAAATTCGGTTTACTAAAATACTCATAGCTTGTTAACACCACTAAAATTTTGCTAAATCACATTCCTTCACCCCCGTCCCCAGCCCCCTCTCCCCCTTTCTCCCCCAAAATCCCCTTCCTCTTCCCATTTCAATTCAATTCTACTACCCCCTAAAGGGGTTTTGGGGTTTTGGGGTTTTGGGGTTTTGGGGTTTTGGGGTTTTGGGGTTTTGGGG